AGCACCTGGACTCTTTTAATAAGGAGCAATGCTGTTGTAATACATGCAGAATGTGGTTTGACATTGTCTAGCTGAAATAATCAAAGCCTTCCCTGAAAAAGACGGCGTCTGAATAGCAGCATATGTTGCCAAAACATCTATATATTGTTCAGCATTAATGGTGCCTTCACAGATGTGCACGTCACCCATGCCATGTGCACTAATGCACCCCTATACCATCATGAACACTGGCTTTTGAACTGTGCACTGACAACAAGCTGAGTGGTCTTTAGCCCACATTGACACAGCACACAGTGTCAATGATTTCCAAAGAGAATTTCAAATGTTGATTCGTTGGACCACAGGACACTTTTCCACTTCCCCTCAGTCCATTTTAAATGAGCTTGGGCCCAGAGAAGGTGGTAGCATTTCTGGATCCTGTTTGTATTTGCACTTTAGAGTTTTAATTAGCATTTGTGGATGCAGCAACGAACTGTGTACACAGACAGTGGTTTTCAGAAATGTTTCTGAGCGCATGCAGTGATTTCCACTACAGAATCATGTCTGTTTTTAATGCAGTGCCGCCTGAAGGTCCAGAGATCATGGCCAGCAAATAATGGTTTTCAGCCTTGTCCCTTGCACACAGAGATTTCTACAGATTCTCTGAATATTTTAATGTTATTATGTACCATAGATGATGAAAAGCAGAAGTTCTTTGCTATTTTATGTTGAGAAATGTTATTCTTGAATAGTTGCACTATTTGCTCAGACAGTCTTTCACAGAGTGGTGAGCCCCTCCTCATCTTAACTTCTGAAAGACTCAGCCTCTCTGGGATGCTTTTTTATACCCACTCATGTTACTGACCTGTTGCCAATCAACCACCAGGTGTTTTTTTTTTAGCATTACACCACTTTGCCAGACTTTTGTTGCCCCCGTCCCAACTTTTTTGGAACATTTTGTTGGCATGAAATTCAAAATGGGCATATATTTTTCAAAAAAACAATAAAATTTCTCAGTTTTAACATTTGATATGTTGTCTTTGTACTGTTTTCAATTAAATATAGGATTTAAATGATTTGCACATCATCGCGTTTTGTTTTTATTTACATGTTACACAGCATCCCAACTTGGGGTTGTATTTCCATAGCAACATATTCTACAAATCTTCACAGCAATTACAGTTTTTTTTCACATTCAGGCCGAAAGTTGTTTTTGAACCATGAAGGTAACTTTGTAGATGGGAAGCACCTCATAGAACTGGCTTGTAACTTATTCATTCACAAACTCAGTCATGCTCTCACTCACTCACAAACTCATTTAATCACATTCAACAGACTAAAGACTAAAGACTTAAAAATACACACAAGGGGGCGCTACTCAGTAGTGTGATTGATGGCTGGGGTTGTGCATAGCCTCATATGAATCTGATTGGCTATCACAGGTGCCACCCCTACTGAAGCTGGTGTTGATAGGTTGTTAGGTTGTCCATCCTATGCATCATCCGTCATGTCTTTGAAATAAGAGAAATAAGAGAAAGTGGTTTTGCTCTGCAAGTGATTTATCTTGACTTTCAGCATGCATTTGGCTTCAAACTGTACTTTTACCAGAAGTCATGAGACAGATAAGAGAAAGGTACACAGGAGACTACACAATTTAGTTCATGAAATAAAAGTGCAATTTTGTTATTTAAATACATAAACAAAACATATACTAATAATACCACCATATCAATACAAATCAGTATTTTTTCAATCTTTTTATTCACAGATTCATCATAAATGTCCTATAGATGTAATTTAATTAAAATATATTTACATTTTATCATGCTGAAATTTGCATGCACTCTTTATACTAATCATAGTAAATTTTATTTATTCAGGCTGGCAAGATTTGTCTACGACATAGAACTGCATTGTGATATATAAATGTGACAGTTTATAGGCATAATTAACAAAAAAAGTAAAATGCGAACACCATTATACATTTTTTTATTTGCACCACTTCTAAAATTGCTAACTAAATCAGCATGCTTTAGCCTGGTTCCAGTTGCTTCTCAGTTTGGGCTACAGGCTCCATTGTTTCTATATTAGCGATCAAATGAAAAATTAATGGTAGTTCAAAGTTGTTTGCATTGTGTTGGCTACACATATTACAACAACTGTAAGAAAATACCCTGGTTAGCAACTTATTGTGGCCACAGTATCATGTAACAATTAAGAAATCAGTTACATTAGGCTAGATTATGTCTCATTAAATGTATGAGGCCTACCTTCCTGTTAGCTGCAGTTTAGCAGAGACTGCATTTTTTGGCACATATTCACCAGTCAGTTTGTTCACTGAGTGACGTACAAGACCTTTCTGCTAAATAGACGACACTTAAATTTTGATCCTAGTTATGGGCCTGCATATTGGGCAAGTTGTAACTTTTGGCTGAATTGTTTACAAGCATTAGGTGCTTGAAACAGCATTTTCCTTTTCATTTTTGAGCAGAGATGAGTAGGTTGTGCCCTGCTCATCCTTACATGTTAGTTTCACAGAAATACTCAATAATTAATAACTTTAAGGACTAATTAAGAGTTGTAGTTTTATAAGCTAACCACTTCTAGCTCACTCACTGACCACTTTATTCAGAACCCCTTTTTGCTCTCTATTAAAGCTTGGCCCTCATTTCAGGTCAGAAAATCTTTCACATATACTTTCACTTTGGTACATAATTAGTAATGTGTAGGATGCATCTGGGACTTCCATAATTCCTAGAGTGACGTTTTTCTGATGAAATTCGTCCCAAAAGCACTGAAAATCAAAACATGATTGGTTGATTCCAACACCACTTACTAATTATGTTAGTGGTTATTCTGACATCCTAACTGTATATTCTGAAGTCCTAACTGATAGGAGCTAGCTTAGCTGTATCTACCTAGATACCACAATCCCCGGATTGGATAATTTCAACAATTTATCCCTTTTGTTTCCAACCAAAACAATATTACAGACATAGACATTTTATTTCATAGAAATCATTAAGCTTTCTTTGGAGACCTTGAAGGCCATGAAGGTTCACCACTGATTGGATTCAGATCTGGTGACTAGGGAGGCCACTGAAGTACACTGAACTCAATGTCTCTTAAAATTTCTTGTGATTTGTGATAAAGGTGCTGGAAGTAGCCATTAGAAGATGGGCATATTGTGGCACATGGTCAGCAACAATACTCAGATAGGTTGTGGCATTTATATGGTGCTTGATTGATATTAAGGGTCTAATGTGTGCCAAGAAAACATTCCCCACCTCATTACACCACCACCAGCTTCAACTGTTGACAGAAGGCAGGTTGAGTCAATAGGTATACACTGTTCACTCCAAATTCTGTCCACTACCATCCACATGTCACAAATCAATCTTCAACTGTCCAGTTTTGGTAAGCCTGTGCTCACAGTAGCTTTATAACTTATCTGATATTTAGGACTTCTAAAAACATGCTCATTTTGTAGTTATAAAAATTTTTTATTTCAACAGTTTGATTTGTCCAATGATATTTAATTCAATACAGAGTAATACAGATTCTTCCACCCTGCAAACCTGAATATGCCACTGACTCATGAATAAATTTTCAAGCAAAATAAACCTTTATTAAGAAAAGGTTACTTTTATATTTAAAAAAGAATATAAAATATTTTGGCTATTCTTTGGCGGAACTGTTCTTGTAATTGGACGAACTGGTTTGAAAAAAAAAAATCTATAATTACGAGGGACTACTGAGGTAAGATCAAGACTATATAGCAGTAACTATGGTCAATAAATATCCAGACACAATATTATTTTTTCCAAAGAATCATTAAAAAATGCGGTTACAATCATCAGACTACACACTTTTGTACACATGATCATCAAAAATTAATACAGCAAAAAAGCTCCCCCTATTCCTTTACACATTGCATTTTAATATTAGTGTGGAACCTGAAATAGTGAACATTTTAAACGTGAATCGTATGCAGATTGTCCACCCCGTTCCTATTTTAGTGGATTATTGAACAGGTGGGGTTATTTCACAGAGCGAGTTTGCTCATTTACTGTGGCTGGACAGTTTAAGCCAAAAAGCCCAGACTGTCCAAAAATGGAAGAGCTAAGGAGGATTCTCATTGGAACACCTTAATCCGTGTCTTAAAGGAATACTCCCGCATTTTTCAAAGTAATCTCTATCTGTTGTATCTGTTGTGCACTGTCTATGACCATGGTCAATGACTCAGAAACTTGTACTCTGAAAACCTGTTTACTAACTAGTAATAAAAGCCAATGGGCTGTTGCTGAATATGAAAATAGGTGCAGTATAATGATTGCCATGTATTGAGTGTTTTGTCTATGGTGAACTAAAGCTTCACTGTAAGAAAAAAATGTAGTGATTTGACAAAAGTTAATCAGACTGCCTTCAAGTTTTGAGTTCTTCTAATAGTAAGTTAACGGAACATAAATTAGTGTCTGTTAACTTATTATCGCTGTTGGCTGAACAAAAGCTCGTATCTCCAAAACTTTACAGAAGAAGGAAAAAACATACTACTTTTAATGTAAGTCATTGAAACCAGACATTTTCCAAAGTACTTTTGGGCTGTTTCTCTTGGCCCATTCATCATGAAATTTATAGATAATGTAAAGGGAAACAGACATTTTCAAATTATGTCAAAAACTGAAAAACTCCAAAAATGGAGATATGAGGTTTTGTCCCAACAGCAGCGATATTATACTTCTTATTTGAGTTCAAAAGTTTAGGCCGAGCTGGTTACCATCTTTTTTAAGTTAACACATATATATTTCTTACGGTGTTGTTGATCTGTATAGTAAAACAGTGCAATTTAATCTACTATTTTTCATTAATAGAATGATTTATCAATATTACATTATTTTGATACACAATCTAAAGTTGAAAATTTGTAGATTTTCCTGTAATTTGTGTCAGAAAATACCACAGATGTGAATATAAGTCACATATCATATCATATATTTTATCATAATAATAATACGCTCTTATCACTCTGAATGTGCTTGTTTATTCATTTGGAAACAAATCACAGTGCATTCAACTGTAATAGAAGCTTTATGCATATTTTTTTTACAGTGATAGGAAACACAATATTTCACAAAAAGCTCCAAATCCGCTTGTTGATCCATTTTACTATAACCAATGTGAACATGCTCGCACTGTAACTCCTCTAGAGCCAGATTTAAACAATTTAAAGGATCCATTACTGAAGTTTCTAAAGTTATTGCCAATGCGATATTTGATAGGGTTAAGTGACAGAGTTAATTGAATCCCATGGCTGTTGTTTAAGATCTTATAATGAATACTGTTCAAGATTTCATGAGAATGATTATGTTTATTATTACCTGTAAAACATTTTCATGAATTCTTTAAGTGAAAGGTATTTTTAAATTAAGATACTTTATTCTTTCCTAAATACTAATCTACAGATTTAGCAGATAGAGATGAGGTTGAAAAATGTAAGTCACACAGCAAGCTAAAACACTGTTTCTGTGAATAACCCTGCATTTCTGCAGTTCATAAACAGTTATAGGGCAGGGATTCTTGTACCCATGCCCTGCAGTTTTTAGGCTTGGTTTCCTGGACAGGGATTAAGCCTAGTCCCGGACTACACAGCATTTCAGGACAAGGCTTAATCTCTTAGTGTTTTCCCTTCTCTAATACACCTAATCCAAACTAATCTGGTCATTAACAAGACTTTCCTGAATTGAAGTGGGTGTGTCAGAGTAGATAAAATACTAAAATACTAATGTGCATTTGCTGTTTGGCTAAGCCCAGTTTAAGCAGGGGTTTAATCAGGCTCTGATCAGCACTCCTAATGTTGGTGAATGAAGGCCCTGAGCTGGAGCTGCTGATGTTCGGCTGAGGTGCTGCTTCAGGCAGAGAGTGGCTCATAGGTATGGAAGTGAATGCCTTTGGAACATGTGATCTTCATCACGGCACCGTTCAGAGTCTCATCAGTTATAATGCGCATCATTCCCTCTGCGATCAGAGACGGCCTGGAAACACACACAAACATTCACATAAGTGACCAGAGAAGACACACTGCACTAAAAAACACAGAGCTAACAGAGTCGATTCCAAGAGTCGATTCCATACAATAATATTTTTTGCCTGAGTCTCAGTTCTAAAAATAAAGACATAAGCCCCTTTATCACACGTACTTTTATGTGAGGATTTGTGTGCATGGCTGCTACTGCTTTTGTTTTAACCTTAGACAGACAACAAACTTACTGATTTTAAGTGACTTTTTTGTTGCAAATGTTACATTTTACTTTATTTTCCACTTTGATCAAAGGAAATTGAAGCCACTCTAATTATTTGTGTGCAAGGGTACATTTGCAGACATGCTATTTAGATCTTCAATTCTGGTCCAGGAAAGCTTTCCTTACTTAAACATAGCTAGTAAACCTGATAACAGAAGAGCTGAACCAGAGAAGACAGGAAATCACCAAACTGTGCCTTGAGGACCAGAAGAACTCTGATCTAGTCAGTGACAGCAGAATCTTGAATATTGTGTGTACACAAGCGTGGGCAAATTTGAATATCACTGTGTAAAGTCCAAATTTCTGGAGTTAATGCACGATTCCAAAATGCTTGGAATCATAGAATCGTCTGATTTGGGAATCAAATCCCAGCCCTAGAGAAAATAATGCTATAAAGTAATTTTTTGAATTGAAATGTATAGATCATTTCCACATGAATAAAAGATGACCCTTCTTTAATTTCAAAGTTATTTCTGAGTAGATACATGTACATATGCGATAATCGCATTACACAAGAAGCGGAATATCAATGAAACATAAGTGGAAAAAAAAACAGGAGTTTCCAAAACTGGAGTTCAACAAATTATTAAAATATACTGAGAAAACTGGACATCTAACAACCAAGCAAGACCTGCTAGACCACCAAAACTGTTCTTAAACAGTTCTTAAAGCTTTCATCTTTGAGACAGGAGAAACTCAAGCTCCACTCTTGCTTCAGATCTGAAAAAAACACAGGTGTTTCTGTCCATCTTCTCACAGTAGAAAGGCAACTCCACACTATGGATCCAAAAGAATGTGTAGCTGTCAAGAAGCAGTTCAAGGAAATAGGTGAAAAAGATTAAAATTAGCCAGTCAAACAAAGAAGCTGCAAGTGTTCTCAGACCAATGGGCTTCCCAAACCTCAGAGCCCAGACCTCAACATCACTGAATGTGTTTGGCATTATTTGGATCATGACAAGCAGAAAATGCAACCAACTTCTAAGATTGAACTTAGAAGATAAAAAATAAAAGTCTCTTGAAAACATTTGAAACTATGACAAAGGGTGGACACACTGAATATGGAAAAATGTGACAGTTGTTGAGGCTTCTGTGTAATTTTCTGTTAAATATGGATTTTCTGTTTTTTTCCTCATCCTGAAAAGTAAATAATTTGTACTTAAAAGCACTTTTGACTGAAAATAGTACCATACATCAGCACAATTTTGTCTTACTTATTAACAATTGTGTCAACATAATGTATTTCATTCATGTGGAAATTATGTACATTTTTGATTGAAGTAAATGCTTTTTTCAGTGTATGAGAACAATCCTTCTCTCCTCTAGCTGTACTTCTAATGTTACCAAAGCCAAATTATCACAACTCTCCAATCTTTCTTTTGTTAGATAACGCATTTCAAGTGGGATTCAGACAGATAACAGCTCCGTCAAGAGATCGAGCTGATGGCTCCCTGAGTGCACTCACAGGCTTGGCCTCAGTCCTATCTGTACAGTGCCCTTGCCAGGGCACTTATTCTGCCTGAGTGGCTCAATACTTTATAGCTGAGAACAACATAATTCACAAAATGTCAACCTAAGGCCAAAATATATCTCCTAAAAGCCTCTCAGAGAACACACAGCATAAAGCAAACATTACTGTTCCTGTGATAACCAAACTTCGTGTGACAGAATTCTATTCCAAGTAATTGTGGGCCATTTCTATTGGTACATGAAATGATTACACAGTGTTTGAGTTTATAGCTTGCTGCAGTTAGCGCTTAGCTAAAAGCTAATAGTATCAGTGGCATAGGGACAAAGAAATGATTGGGTAGGCCTATGAATAAGAGGTTAGGCCAACTTGGTAGATACAATTTACAAATGTGCTAATGTCCCCTAGTGTCATAACAGTAGGTTATTGGCTATTCTTGACAGTAGTGCTGTCATCACCCTACCTGTTTCGAATGCTTCTACCCTATGGTGGGTAAACTGATAGCAGTCAACCTGAAACTTGATTCACATGAGCACAACCAACACTGCAACACTGTTCACTATAAAGCATCGGTACATTTGGCCACTGAAGACTACCTAATTAAGTTAACATATGACAGCTGAGATGTAAGATGAGATGTAAAATGAGTAAAAAAGACATAGCAAACTTTTAAAACTAAACCTTTTCATCGTAGGCTAAAGCATATGACCATGGAAGGTGTGAAAAATGTTCATGGTCCATTTATGCCTCACCTCTTATGACTCAATGCATTGAAGTAAAATTAGACATTTGCTTTGACATTTTTTACAACGCCCTTGTCAGTGTTTATTGTAAAAAACACTGTAAGCATCAAGTTCGCAAAAAACTGAGGACACATTTTACATTTGTTTTTGGCTTTGGGTAGGTAGAAAGCAACAAACTGTATGGGACAGAATCTCACTTTTAAACGTCCCTAGTTACATCTTTACCAATAATTGGAGCAACAAATTCAAACACTGGTGCGCTGACGACAGACTGAATGGCTTGAGGTAATGGCGGATAGCAACAGTTGCTAAACAGTGATTGGAGAGCTGTTTTGATTTGATTGGCCATAATATAATGACAGCATTCACAGATCAAATTCTTTAGAAAAATCGGCTTAATAAATATTCTTTCCCCATTTATATTTAGTATTGTATCCCTGTGCTCTGACCCGTACTCCAGAGTGAACCACACCTGTGATACAAGCATCCCTAACATTTTGTAATTTTTTTTAAAATTTAGTATCTTTCATGATGTGAAGTATGATGTGTTATCACATTGTGTGTGTGTATATATATATATATATATATATATATATTTGTTGATCATTTGTTAAAACTCATTACCATTGTTTTTTCCTGAAATGCTCTGTGGTAGAAAATCATCTCCTAACCAAAAGTGGAGGAAACTGTGAGGCAAACATGCATTTCATCAGACACCACAGCAGCTGCAATATCTAACCAAGGACTGCAACATCTGACCAAAAGTACGAACAAGCTGTTCTAGTACTGCTGGTGTTGCAGTGTGGTCGCAGTGTGTTTCAGCAGGATGTAGACACTGTGAATAAGCCTGAGGTGTGTATGCTTACGCATTAGGTGTCATCTAGAGGAACATACTGGCTACTGCTCTCTCTCCCTCTCTCTTTCACCACATGAACAGCAGAACCTTTTTTCAGGGGCTTTCACATTCATGTGAAATGAAGGCTTGATCTAGATAATAGATCCCATCAGGAGAGATAACTGGTAGAAAATTAGAGAAAAATCAAACGTAAACAGATTTCACTCTTAATCAAAAAAGTGTCAGCTATAGTACGTTTGGTGTCCAAAGTTTACAGTTATGACACTACTGTGTCTTATAAATAATGGAAGCCTATACTTACTGATAGGAATGGGAATAGATACAAATGCCATTATCGAATCTGTTTATGGGTTCGATTCTTTATCGATTAATTTACTGATTCCTGATCAATTTTCTGTTTGGAATAAAGTAGGCCTACACAGGTTTTCAGCGTCAGCACAGCTGTTCTATTATTTCCGAGAAACAGTATAGAATGTCTGGGTAATAAGATTTGAACATGTTAAATAAATTACAATGCTCCTTTTCTTACAAGGATATAACTTGAAAAACAAATATTAAAGCGAGTCAACACCAAGTCTAAAACATCTAAAATGGATGGAAAGGAAAAATCTGCAAAACCTCTTTGTGTGCAAATGCTATTTCAACCTTCATTCCAAAAATGTTGTAACACTGCAAAATGTAAATAAAAACAGAATACAATGATGTGCAAATCATTAAATGTCAAATTTGATTGAAAATAGTACAAAGACAACATATTAAATGTTGAAAATCAGAAATGTTACTGTTTTTTGAAAATATATATGACCATTTTGAATCTGATGCACAGCATCCCAACTTTTTTGGAAAAGGAGTTGTATAACATAGTGCATTTAACCTCAGTAATAGATATGCTGCTCAGTTGGGAAGCAAATGCACTCGTGCTTACATTGTCCAATACATGACATTCCTGGAATTTTAGCCAGTGTAGCATTGAAGGATTTCAACATATCGCTGGTGTTTCCACACTTACTTAAAATGATCATTTTACAGACATTGCAAATAGCCCTGTTGTCATCTTTCTTGTGAAAGGAAGCCATGCTCCTTCCTTTCCACTATATCCTCTTTCTTGTATTCCTTCAAGTTTCCAGCAGTGTAGACACAGAGTTTGACATGAAACACAGAGTTTGATGTCATGGTGCATGAGCTTTTGCAATGTGCAACTGTCGGAAAAACATGTCAGCATCAATTTATGGAACAGATAACCTCAGGGGCATATGATTCCAATGAATTGGACAATTTGGGAAGTTGAGAACCGGTTCTTGATTCCCATTCCTACTTACTGACCGGTTAAAAAAAAAAAATCTCAAACTGACTTGCTTACGTGGTTTCTGACACTGTATAACATGCTGTTATGTATAAACGTAAAGAAATTAGACAAAAGCCACACTTAAACATGGCTACTAATGTTTTTAACTATGCACTGTCTTGTACGGCATGGGATAAATCGCATTTTTATTGTTATTGAGATATGAGTGGCCTCTGAAACTTTTACAAGAAAAGTAAAAAAATGTAAGAACTATTTTCATAAATTTAGGCCTTAAGGTTTGGGACAGCCACCTCCCAAAAGAAAGTACCCTATAAATGATGATTATGTATACATTTAGATTCTTACTTTCTCAACTAATGCCTTAGGTTTAAATAGAACATAATATAGTCCTGATAAATATATAGTTTATATACTAATTTGATTTTATTTATTTATTTCGTTAAATATTTTAAATAGTTTTTTCACTGTTGGACTGCAGTTTGAACTATTTCAAGTCTGTCCAATTGGAAAAGACATCAAGAGAAATTTCTCACTTTAGGCTTAAGTTATCCAGCTGGGAAACCCTGCGTGTGAAACACCCTGCTGATGGGAGAAGAACAAAACAATGTTAAACTGTGGAACTGGGAGACAGTGATCTAGGGAATGAAGAGAATGTCAAGAGATGTCCTTGACACGAACTCCCAGCATGCCGTATACGCTGTTTACTCCCACAGCGATAAGAGACGCCTCACATCAACCAGAATATTCTTTCCTATTCTTAATGATATACCAAGGCAGATGAACTGATTCCACATTCCACCATGGATATCTCAACTGAGGTTTGTCTACCTCTATCCTCTTTCTTTTTCTTCTAAACACAGCATGTCTATCTTTAGCTCCATCTCTATTTTCTTATCTCGTTCATGCAGCTTTGCTTTGTTTATCACATCTAATCTCCCGGTGGCTGGTTAACATGCACCTTATGAGCCTGAGCTAAACAGGACATGCTCTTCGTTTACTACAAACCTTGGAGTGTGTTGGGTTCACTCAGTGACACTGCACATCAAACAGCTTATAAACTGGGATTTGGATGACTATATCAGAGGACACATATGCCGTCTTCAGCTGATGCTTCTGTCAAATTCCTGCACTGGAAACTGACTAGAACTGAACTGGGAGTAAACTGTAGTCATTATTTCTGCCTTCCTGCATTCATTGCTGATTTGCTAAGCCTCCATTACTTGTTAGCTACATTAGCCTTGAGCTCCAGTACAAAACTACTACTACTGCAAACTTTAGACACCAAATATATCTGACTGAATACGTGTGGGGTAAGGGGTACTACTTTAAGGCCTTTAATATGTGATCCCTTGAGGATGGCATGTAGATTAACAAGCATTTTGTGAATAAAGTTTAAATAACCTAAAAAATAAGGGAGTAGCATGTAGAATACCTCCTATTAAAACAGATGACATTGATGAGTTATTAATACTAAATTAGTCAAGCAATCCATCTTTATCGAACAAAGAGGACACAGAGCCCTGTACTTACTTAAGCACCCCAAATTTGTCCATACTCTGCTTGAAATCGTCTTTGAACTTGACAAACTTGCCCATGGTCTCCTCGTTTTCGACAGTGTGAAGCAGCTGTGTGTCCACGAAGGCCGGGCACAGGGCGTTGATCCTCACCCCATAATCACCCTGCTCTGACGCGTCCTGCCAGGAAGAAAACGTGTCCAAACAAGGTCAGCCTAAATAACACACGTTTCGCAAAGAATGTGTCAACATGTAGACAGAGGAGACAGTGATGTTATCTGTGAGCTCTCAGGTCAGCTAGTGCAGTCTGAGTGAATTCTGCAGCTGCTTCTCCTCCCCATATATCATTCATATCATCTATCTGTTTTAAAATGAGATCTCATCTCAAAGAGGTTTTACTGGAATGACAATATTAAGAAATAGTGTTGTCATGGCATTTCTTGTTTATCATGTACCATTCTAAAGCTGTCAAACCAAACGTCTCGCCTGCAATGCATTCAGAGACTTTGGCCATGTGCCCTTCATCTCGTTTAATTCTGCCGTGTCCATGTCAGCATGTGGAACTAGAGCAGACTGTGTAACACTGCAGTGCTTTCCACATATAGGTTGTTGTTCGGTAATGTGGCAAGGTGTACTGACACTCACCAAAGTTTATTTTGACTGTTTAATAAGTTCAGTGTTTTTATTAATCTGTATAAAGCTTTTACTTTGACCGCCATGTGAACGCAGCTTGGGTTGGGGGAGGGGAAGAGTGAGAGAGAGTGAAGAAGATGACAGGACAGTGAGCAGCACTTGTGAAAAACAGCTGCTACATGCAACTAGCAAACACGTTATGGCTAAATTTGCTTGCTCTTATTTGGAAAGAATGGTCGCATTCGCAGTTACACTAGTGATTAATCTTTTAAGAATAGTCTTAAGATGCATTTGGGAAACCCAGCCCTGATGAGTATTGAGAGGTGGAGGAGAGAGGTCAGGTACACTGTGTACAAATTCACTGTGTCAGAGAAGTGTTTTGCTGTCATTAGGGTAGCTTGAATTTTATTTTTGGTCACTTGCAAATTCTCCGGCATCAACGCTTACAGCAGCTTATAACGCTGTTCATTGTTGAACTAGGTTACCCATAAAGCTAGCTAATGCTACGATTATTGGTGGAAAACAATACATGTTAGTGAGAGGTTAAACTATAGTGTTCAACTTATTCTGCTTAAATGAAGCAAAGGTGAATATATCTGCAACTGTAACTCGCATGTCTGTAGTTAGTATAGTCGGTGCATTGGAAATTATTAAACCAGGGGGTAAATAAATGTGAGCTGAACAAGTAGCCTATCTATCTAGCCAAAGAAATTAATCTAGTTTCTCTTTTTAACATGTGTGTGATTGTAATGGCACTGTTTTGTTAGAATGCAGAGCACACTGAGTGTGTTTATATGCACTCAATAATCTGATCATAATCGGATTTCTGCAGTTATCCGATCATTCAAATGGTCATGTAAACACCATACTCCGATCTAGAAATCTGATTAAGAAATCTGATAAAGAGAGCTGGATTTTTGCTCAGTAATCAGATTTCTTAGTGCATGTAAACTCTTACTCGGATTTCTTTCGGATTTCTCAGTCTGTGCATGTGCAGAACAGATGGCTGTACCGGAAATAAACAAGCGAGATGGCAGCAAAACACTTTTGTAGCAACGCTGAAACCAAGCTTGTTCTTGATTAAATAAAGGTTTTAATTTTCTTCATCTTCTAGATGATGTTTGTTCATATTTTCAGCTAAAGTGGCACTGTTTCAGTTTACTGCATAGTTTAAGATGGCATGTTTAAGACGGCACCAAATGGTGGCTGACAGATGGTTTCTCGTAGTTTGCACTGGATAGAATTAAGAGTGCTGGTAAAGAGATAAACTAGATGTGAATATCATACATTGAAAGAAGATATTGTGATTAGGTGTAAAGCAGTAACTATTTAATGACAAAAAAAAATCTATTATCAAGTTTATTTTTAAACTGCATTATATAATTATAATGTTATCTTGGTAAAGACTCTTAAATAACTACACATGACAAATATTAGGAAAAATCTTTGCTTATGTTATGTGTTTCTGAAGAAAAACCGACCAATCAACCAATATATTGGATATATCGGATTTTTAAATCCTTAAATAGCAAAAATTGGTATCAGTCTTAAAAATCCTATCGCTCAGGCCCTACATAAAACACTTCATGCACTCTGACCACTGCAAGAGCACATAAAAATGGCTGGCAGGCTGAAGCGCAACCTAACAGCTCAGAAACTGATCTAAATCGTAGTCTTTTACGGTACTAACAAAGATGCAAGACAAAGGCAGCAGCTCAGACCATTTTTATATATATTTATGTGACAGTATATAGTTTCACAGGAGGAAGATAAGTCACTCACACTCAAAGAAGACATAAAAACATAAATGAAGGCTGTTAAATAGATCTTAGTGTTAATATTTGTATATAACTGACATACCTACAAAGTCTTGTAAATGAAAAACTGTTTGATTGCAGTCATTATTATTAGGAATTTGGCTATTTATTTAGGGTTTAGAGTCCACCCCCACCACTTTCTGCCTCACCACCAAACTATATTTCAAATCTTTGAGAAACACTGTATTCTGTTTTATATCACTACATAAAAGAAGCTCGATGCTGCTTTTATTCCTGAATGCACTGTGATCATCTCTATTCATAACTTTTCTTTCTCAAGACAGCTGGTCACACAAATAAAGCAAAAATCTAAAAATGTTTGGCTTTGTTAGATCAAACCTTTTATGCATCACATAAATGTAACAACACTTTTTTTAACAGAGAAGAGCAGATTAAACAGCAGAAGGGGATTTTTTTGCATTGGCTGAAATGGTAAGGTAAGAAATTAGAGTAATGTCCTGCCCCAAAATGTGCATCAGAATCAGATGAATTAGTGGAACATCAGCACTTAATGGCTTAATTATAACAGTTACAAAGGAAGTCCACACCTGTGGGGTTGCTTTTACTGTTAGGTCAGGAAGCAAATGGTATTATAGAGTGAGATTGCTAATGGGCAAATGAGAAGCACTTCCAACAAATGGTTCCTCATTTACATTTCAAGTTTCCTAACAGTTAACATCAAATAGTACGTGCAAACGTAAGTTCCACTACACTGCAAATTGTTCTGTGCCAGCCAAATTTTAAAATCTTACATCTGGAAATATGAGATTAATGATCTTGTTTTAGAGGTTATATACTAGTTTGTATCTTTGAATTCATACCTTTTCAAGATGAGTCAACTTGATTCAAGTAACAGCATAATCATACTTCACTAGCATTAAGTAATTTCCACTTAAATTAGTCATTTGTCTTCTTGTTTCTTGGCCTTCATTTTCTCAGTGTGCTAAAATTATTGCCATGCTGTAGCAAGTCTGATCTCAAGTAATCTGAGAGCCTGCTTATTTCTAGACTGAAACCAACTTAATTTAAGATTCCAGACAGGTAATTTCACTAGCATTTAGTCATTTTCTCCTCAAATTCAGTGTTTATTTCTTGTGTATTTTATCTAATCTTTTTTGCAGTGTAGCATATTTTGTAGAATATTTGAATGTTCAAAGTCTGTCTCTGCTGAATTCAGAGCCTTTCACATGCTTAGTTGGTGCTTTTATTGCAATGAAAACTTTTTCATTTCATCCTTTTTTTCCTTACAGTATCTTTTTAGTAAAATGAACATTCTTGACTTGAAGCATAACCATTTCCATTCAACCATGGTGCAACCATGTAAGCTTTGGCTATTTTATCAGGAGTTTGATCGTAGGAATGCCACAGACATGCCTGACCAGGAGTCAAAAAGCCAATAATTTTGTCTCTGGGTGGGTAGGATGGCTCTCCCTCTCTCATTATCAGTCAGTGTGGTGCTAACCAATGCAGGCGTCTGTTAGCTGATATAACAGTACTGGCAGTTAGCTTTCTCCTTCAGCCTGTTACTATTATTACATAATCACCTAATAACATTTATTTGATATACATCTGATCACAATTATTTTCTAGCTTTTGCTAGCTTTCAGAACCATATGTTTATGTCGCAACGTCTCAAAAAGCCTAGTTTTCCTTCAAGCATGTTGAGCTGCCCAATGATGTTGCGTTAGCTGCAGTGGCACTACACATGATACCCTCCCGGTTTGGCAGCATTATGTGCTGGGGCAGACCTAGCTAGCAGGTGGGAATTTGTCATGGCTAGTTTGAGGAGAAAATTGGGTAAAATTTCTCAAAAAAAGTTGTATGATGGCAACAATATGTTTAGTTATACATTTTATATTAGAAACTAGTGCTACTGCTAGTATTTTATTGCCAACGTTCTTCCCTATTTTCCCTCAAGCTGTCCATTCTTGTACATATCTGCCAGGCAAAGCAGCATTATGCCCTTCTCCTAATGATATTTCAGCCAGTGCAGATTTCTTCTTTAAACTGAAGATGGTACACTTGGACAGAAATTTACTTGACAAAAGAGCCCATCATTTCTACATGAATAAATTATATTACATCAGCTAAATTTTGTCTTTCAGTTTATATACTTTTGCTAGTGCTGATGTCAGACAATTTATCACGTAAATTTAATGCAGCACTTTTTCAGTGTATCTGTTGAGGGAAGATCAGTTGGCATAAAGAACCTTTTTCAGAGTTCCATAAAACATGGCATCTCATACTGTTGGACATGAGACAGTAAAAAGAGGAGAAAGTGGATGATGTACTCACTGCCATTGCTCTGGAGAAGCCGATCACGCCGTGTTTAGTGGCTGTATACACCGGTTGATGAGGGGAATGCAGGAATGCTGGGAGAATACAAACAACAGAAACACACCAATGAATGCACTCCAGCCATACATTAAACAACTACAGAAGTCAAAGCTTTAAAGGCACTGCACACCGGGCATGAAGCATCCAAAAACTGTCATTGTTTTTAATAAAACTGCCCACACTGGAGCTGACATTCAGCGTTGATGCGTGCCAGTGCCCTGCGACTCTGAGCACTGTTCAGTTTCTCCTCTTTCTGCAGCATTTTGTCATTGCTGTTTTAAATTAAAGCCATATCAAGACCACAGAAAGCCAGAGCAGATGACATGGCTTGAAAGGCAGTCAGTCTTTAAGATAAACAGACAAATGCTAAAACCATATTACCTCCGCTAACGTCTTTTTTCATCTTATATCTTTCAGCTTGAAAACATTGAGGAGGTGAGGGAGCAAGCATGATAAATGATGCTGAAAGCTTTATTTATAGTGTAAAAATGAACTTGACCTAGTTTTTTACCTCCCACCAAATGACACAGCAGGACAGCAGCGTTTTGTACAGCATCTGCTATGTAATGCTATATTATGATGCGTCTGGTGTGCAGTGGCCTTTAGGCTACAATACTACAGGCGTTATATAGCTTGGTGAAAAATCTCATTACACAATTTTTCTTTACCCCAAATGTTGATTTGCCAATATGTCAATGTTTGATGTCTGAGGTTTGTTTCTTTAGTTTTTCACTGCAGCTACAAGGCTAATGTAGCTAACAAGTAATTGACAATTATACAGTTAGCATTATGCAAACTGCATCGTCTCATACTATTAAACATGCTGTTATTTTTAAAAGTGGACAAAACTATGGACAGAATTCAGGCTTCAAGATGGATATTACTGTTGTTTTTAACTATGCAATGTATTTTTGTCCATTTTTTATATGGACAGAACATCATAGAGTGTAAGAGAACTTATCAATGCAACACAGTTTTAGGCCAAAGTTTGATGTTTTGGGTATGATGCTAATTGGTAGAGTATAATTCCATTAAATGTCAGCGAAATTGGCATCGTAGTTCCAGCGCAAAACTAAAGAAGCAAACTTCAGACACCACACACGTCTTGGCTGATTACATCTGGGGTAAGAGTTGGAAATTGTATGAGACAATTCCCTTAACATGATCTGCATTGTTTTATTAGGTGTGGTGACCTGGTCTACATTTCTATATTGTTTTGCTATGAGGCCCTTTCAGCTTCACACAGCAGGGTTTCATCTCACCAGGGGCCAATGCTGAACAACGACTGTGACTGATTCCCTATGTTTTCCTCATGGAAAAATTGAACCTTCCAAGGCCAAGGATTTCTCTCTCCTTCATTTTTAATTTCAACACGAAAACCCTGCTGGCTGCTGAGTGTGTTTAAAGCTGCTCTCCAGAAACACAAAAGGGCTAAGGATCATTTCCCAAGCTAATGTGCTTCATAGTTCATAGCTTTATAGTGCAGTTTCCCTGCTTCTCTTTATGAATCCATTTAATCCCAACTGCCAGTTTTTTTTGTCTTCCTGCTCTCCACTACACTCTAATAAATATCAGCTGTCTGTTTGGTCTGTTTCTTTTGTCTTAGTTTATCACTGAACTGTTGCGTACTGGATCCATTACTTCAAACCTCTTTGGCTTTAACATGATAAACAACTTTACAACCTGAACCAACCCTTCAATTACCAACAGCAGACGTGCAAAGACGGTGTGTACAATTAAACAGCCTCTTGTGTGTTCTGGATGAATGAATCTGAACACAATGCTGACGAGCGAATAATCTGCTCAGGCACAATGGAAGCCTCTGTTTCACATATTTACCTCGGCCACAGATGTTCCAACCTTGGCTCGACTGCAAGCTCTGCGTTAATTTTGGGGTTAGCTTGTAAAAAACCAAACAATGAGGTAATCACACAAAGACGTGTCTCCAGCGGTGAGCGCTGCATTGTTGTTGCGTAAGTACAGCAAGAGGCAAAAGCGTTGCAACTAAAAGTGGCTTTAGAGTCTTTCCAGCACTGCAGGAATAAATCACGGCTTCATACAGCTGTGCAGAGAAAAAACAGCAAAACAGAAGAATGGGGCTTAATTTACTGCCTCCAGTCTGGAGATGGCACAGTACCACTTTGTCTTTTCTAACTCCAATACCGATATTGAAAACTTAAGTACTAGTTGGTACTGATACGATACTATGTGAGCTTTAAAATGAAATATTTAAAAATATTCAATCCCTAATGTTATCACATGACATTATTATGTGGTTACTGATGTTATCATTTTACCCACTTTGCTTTATGTTTTGTGATGCTACAAGCAATTCTGTGCTATTTCAGGCTAGATTTGTGACACAATCAGATTACATATATTGTTTATTTCTCAGATATCCAATAATCAACACTGATATCAGCCTGATATCTGGTATCAGATTGGTGTCAATTCTACTCCAGTCAAATATCAAACAAACACTGTTTCATTCATTGGTTTATGAATAGGATAACGATATAGTTCATCGTTGCGCTGGGAAACTTTGCTCTGGGGAACTGGGTGCTTTCAGACCTGCCTTGTTTGGTCCAGACCTTCAGACTTTTCAGTTTGGTCCAAACCAAAATAGCAAATGTGACAGATGCCTCTGACCACGCTTCAGACCAAAGGATCAAAATTTGGTTTGATCAAAAGAGGCGGTCTTGGTCCGGATCAAACTGAACCATGGTGTGTTTCAGTTGCTGTGCAGTGTGAAAACACTTTTTTGGATGGTTCAGACTTTTGGACCAGTTACAGAAAGTTTAGTCAGGCTATCATCACCCATTTAACAACAGAAGAAGAAAAAGAACAGGAAGCGAAGTAAAATGAGCCTCTGTACCACATGGGGAGATGAAATATTTAATTGTAATTTGGTCCATTGAAAAATTCAATAGTTAGCATTGAAAAAACACAATATAATATAAGTGATGACGACAGAAAGTAGGTATCATGATAAGTATATGTCATGCAAACTTCATGTGAAATGTGAAACCAAATGTATACAATGTAACAAAAGCATGAAACTTGGTTCGGACCTTGGTTTGGACTTTCAGGTGTGAAAACACCCTCAGAAACTGTCAAGAACCTTTTTTTCTGGTAAGTAACAGTCAGAAAAAACATGTGAGCCTCACCACAAGCTCTTTAACCTCCATATCCAGGATAAATAAACAGACTTTTGACTCTGGGCGGGTTGACAGACAGAATCAGTTCCTCTTGGCTCTGAATGGTGTAATAAACTTCTTTGTGACTCTTGGCTGAACAGCCTCTATGCTTGAAGTAAAAGCTTCTTCTGATCCACACAGTTCTGATAAAGCAGTGGCTCCCAGCCTTGACCCTGGAGAAGCCTGGATAAGTACCTTGTGGTGTTTTCCCACTTCTAACACATGTACTTCAATTCAGGAAGGGATTGTTAACCCCTTAAATGACTTATCATTCTGTTATTAACCACAGGACTACATTTTACTAAAGAGGCAGCAATACAGAATTTCTCTAAAACAAGTTCACACTCTTATCATTGTATGAAGTATAGTGAAGCATAATGTAATTACCCAGCATTATGGTATACTACTGCAAGCTAAAAATAGAGTACTAAAGTATAATTTAATTCCAAAATCAGACCATAATTAACCCCTTAAATGGTCAGTGTCCACTAGAGGGGCCAAACACTCATGGAATCTAAGAATAACTCAGCCAGTTTGCACTTAAGTCCCTGTAGTTACTGAATAATAAGCCTTAGTATGTAATGAGGCTGGGATTTTAAGGGGTTACATTCTCCCATTTACAAGTTACTATACTATTACGATACTGTACTGACTACCAGTACATAATTCACCCCTACTAACAGTTCAATAACTACTATCAGTTATTCAGTCACTACTGTGTACACTACTGTTCAAAAGTTTGGAGTCACCTTTCGTATTAACAAATTCTGTTACTTCATATACAATAACATCTCATACAATGCAGAATGAATCACTTTAAAGAAGACAATTTTAAAGTGGACAACTTTTTGGCAACAACAAAAAGCTGTTTGAGGACAACTACTATTCTGTAATGATCTGTTTACAAGATTTTTTGGCCACATTATCTGCCTTGGGATGTGATGTCACTTCTGAAATATAAGACATTATTAGAAGAAAGATGAACTGAGAAGTACACGCTTAGTAAAATCTCTTTTTAGATTTCTAATAAATCGGGCTAAAATTCTGACAGTTTCATATGTCACTGAAGATTGTGTCTGTGGTGTAACTCATGAAACATTCATCAATTTTAAAATTAAAAACAAAACAACAACATAAATTCAATATTTATCATTATCTACATACAATGTGATTCTGAAAAAGTGACAGTGAAATACAGTAAATTCTAATAATGCTCCAAACTGAGTAATTTTACAGCCGTTACAGTAAAGGTGTTACAACCTTACTGACATTCAATATAGCTATGTTTGACGCTTGAATTACATATCAACATTCATACTTCATTTGCCATCCCAACGGTAGAATGGCCTACAAACTTTTAAAGTTAATTTTATACATTTATCTGCTGCCATTCTGGTTTCACGTTATGGAAAACATTGATTCCAGATAGTAGTGAATTGCAATGTGGATGCACACTCAGATTGCTAGCAAAAAAGGGGCATAATAAAGGATAAAAAACACTAAAAATGCAGAACAGAGATACTCCAGAACACAGAGCTGGGAAACACTAAGACAGGAAACCTGCTGAACACAAGCTGTGCAGCGAACATGTATTGTACTGTACAAGTTGTACAAGTTGGGCTGTTAAGGAGTGTCAAATAACTGTCATCTCTTCCTTCAAAATATCACACTACACCCTTACAAAGAAACTGTTCTAATGGTTCTTAAAAGCTTCTTTAGTTTAGGCAACAGTTATGTACAGTCGTATGCAAAATTTGGGCACCCTGGTTAAATTATACATTTTGTTGATTTTGTAAGTGAAAATAAGTACATGTCCTCCACAGAGAACACACTTCTGC